CTCTGAACATCTGAACAGCTTCAGATCTGCTGCAAATTTTGCCCAGCTGTTCGTGGCTCAAACAGTGGGTCTCTGAAGCAACATTTCTGGTTTCATGGCCACATCTTGTGCCATCAGGTCCAGAGCCCTGCAGAGGCAGAATGGCAAGGTGCGAGGCCTCTGCAAACCCTTCTGTTGTCACGCGCACAGCTGGACTGTTACGTGTATGGGGATGCTGTTATTTTAAGTTCTGTAAAAATACTGCTACTATCCAATTGTTAACTTTTGGAGAACAAATACGTGTCTGAAAATGCCTTTTTTTTTTTTAAGAGTTGTTTAATAAGCAGTGTGTTTCCCCTCTGGGGACACATGAAGGGATTAATCTGCTGAATTCTGCATCTCTGCATAAATCTCTCAGGGAAGTCAAAATTGATTCACTACAATGGTGGTTATGCCCTGAAATTTCACTGAAAAATACTGTAGTTCCCGATCTTGCTGTCCACATTCACCATTCTAAAAGACTGTAATAGGATCATATCATCTCATTGGGACCAATTTTCTTCTGTCATATTTAAGTACTACAGAGGTTTTAACGATTTAATGGCTATATTTCACTGCTTAACAAGAGAAACACTGTAATATTTCTCATCCTGTTATGAGTGCCCCTCTCCTGGTGCTCTGTTATTAAATATAGATTAGCTTTCCTGGAAAGAAAAAAAGGCCTATCGTGTTCTGATGTTTTAGATCTTTCCTATTGCTCTCCTAAATATTTTGCAGAAACTTCCTCTCCTATTCTCATCCACAGGATTGTCATATCTAATTTGAATATTAAAATGTTAAACAGCAGTGTTTAAATAACTTTTTGATCAAAAAGACTAGTACTCTGAGCAAAGCTTTCTATCCATCTCCCAATGGCTTGTGTGCAAAGGTGATGGGACTTGGGTACCATTCTCTTCTCTGTCCCTGGGATAACATGTATCCAGAGGAGAAGGTTGGATCATTCTTCTAGAATGGAGTTTGAGAAAATACCAATTCTAACAGTTGGACTGAATTATATTGGCTACAGTGAATAGTAATTTAATTTTAATGATGTACTTTATGTAGAACAGAAAATCAGAGCTAATCATATGGAGTACTTTTTTTGGCCTTCAGCCTTTTTACACTTAAGCTCTGTCAGGTAATGAACAGGAACATTCCTTTCAAATATAGACAGTATTTAATGAAGATGCATAATAATTTGCCTATTGCTAAAGCAAACTCAATATGAGAGCCAAAAAGCAGCATTTTTTTCCTATCTTTTTTTTTTCCTATTCATGAATATCAATCAGTTTAATCTTTAGGCTGGTCATGTGTCAGCTGCAAAACAGACTTTTCTAGTGTGTCTTTGAAAGCTTTTTACTTTCTTTGGTAGGCCAGAGTATTGTGTCATCATTAAAAACATCTCATAGTTTGAGCCAGTGAGGAGTCAGACCAGCTTTGTGTCCTTGCCCCACTTCCAGTTCTTGGTCTGTAATGATGTGCCAAGCTTTTCTGGTTATCCTGCATTGAAATTATTGTCAATAAAGTTTGTCAGCATGGAATGGTGATGTTACTGTTCTGCAAAAAGACTTCCTAAAATTAAACAGCAAGAAGGAAGGAAGCACCAGAATGTCTGGAAAACACATATTATATTTTGGTAAGCAATGATTAAAGCCTACCTATGTAAGATAATAACATGAACATTGCTATGGGTAATATCCTTTTATTTTAGAACTAACCTTTTGATTCAAACTTTTATGAATTTGGATTTTTTTAAGACTTTATTTTCATTTTGAAAATGCACTTTTTCTTTCTTTCGTCCGGTAAGGCAGAAAACACTTTTTGAAAAGCCTTTGTGTTTCTGTTGACCTATACAGCTGAGTAGCTTTCAGCTTTAGATAGTGAGCAGTTGACCTTTGTATTTCAAAAGAATCAGAATTTTTAGAATGGTTCCTTCCCATTCCCTTCCCACCCCCAAAATGATATCCAGCCAAACTTACCTCCATTTCATTTCAGTAACTGAACTCCTAAAGTTTTCTTGGAAGGCGTGATTAGTGCCTAGAAAACTGTGTAGTGCCCAGTGCTTGTGTCTGTCCTGGCGAGCCTGAGAGTGACAGGTATATTTTTACTGCATTCCGATATCTGAACTTCTCAATAGCCAGTGACTGCCAGCTGTTTCCCAATAGCCTTTTCAGGAACAGGAGGACTTTTACTCTACTGTCCATAAAAATATGCCTCTGCTACTGCCACTAAACTTTATGTAAGCCATAAAATATCTTTTGGCTCCGACTTGAAACACAAGGAGAATGTTTGCACAATGAACATCAGACATTGTCAATGTTAATGTGTAATGTCTGTTGGCAGAGTTGTCTGTAAAGATTTTTTAGCCAGCCAAATGTTACTTCTTTTTCACTCAGAACTCATGTCTGTCATAGGATAGGAAGAATAACAGGTTTTATTAAAATTGGCTACAGGCGGTTTAATTTTTTTCCCATTGCTAGCCTTTTGAGTAACTCCTGGCAGCAATTACATATATGTAAAACACATTCTTTTCAAGCCTTCTTTAGCTGACTGTGGATAGTGGAGTGCTCCCTCGAAAATTTAATGACAATTAAAAAATATTTATACACACGTGTGTGCACATACGTATGTGTGTTTGATATAGGTATTTTGATGGATATCTTCAAAGTGACAGGCTGGGTCTCCAACAAAAATGCATAAAATAATGGTTAAGTCTTGCAGCTAATTCCTGAAGTTTCTAACTTACATTATTAGTATCCACAATGATAATATTTGAATCAATTTAGACTATACTTGGAATAGAGATTTCAAGCTTCATAATTGATAGTGTGCAAAACCCATCATCTTTTAATAGCTATCAAAGCTGTACATAGAAAAAGAGAAGAAACAGTCCAGTAACTGTTCTTTTGTCATCTTTCATCTTGTAAGGTTGTAAAGCTTCACTACTTGCTGTTGTGAATAATACAGATGTATCATTGTGCACCTCTCTGCCTCTTCACACATCTGTGCATCATTTCCAGTGTAAGTGATGTTCCCATGAATACTTTATCCAACTAAAGCCTTTTCACACAGACTACAAACCTGGCTTATAATTCTATTCTCTGGTAGTGGTACTAATTCAAGTGTGGAGTTTTTGGTTTGGTTTGCTTTAACATGATATTTCAAAAACTTTTTTGACAACTTTCAGTCAAGATGTTGAAATGAAAGGGGAGTTCATTATGTGGATGTTCAGCTATAAATTTGTTATACTATATGACTCACAAGGAAAAATCTAAAGTAGGTTTCCTTAAATCACCTATCCAAAGCTGATCCTTTCATAAATATGCCAGATAGGTAAACTCCATGGAGGGAGAAAAATTAGTTGTAGAAAAGTTGAATATGAGGCAAAGAATATTTGGCCATAAAATTACTCTGAATATACAGAGAATTCAGGCAAAGTTCTTAACCTAGGCTGGTCAAGCCTGGGGTAGCAGGAAGGAAGAAATGTGTCCCTGGTGACTCCTGATGCTCCTATGAGTGCTCAGCATGACCCAAAAAGGAGAAAGAGCCCAGTTAGTTTAACAAGATGTGCAATAGTCCAGATTATATGGTTCTATGTATCCTTTAAAGGAACTTTAGATATAAGTCTGTATGGTGTTTTTGATAGTGATTCATGCAAGGTATTCAATGTTTTTATGACTCTTTTCATTAGTTACTGGCTTTGTTGTTACAGGAAAGCAAATGACAAGTGGGCAGCAACATCTCTTGCCTATGGAAGTGGAGCAGTGTTGACTGAGTGCTTGTCAGTCAGACTGAACCTTGTCTTTACTCCACCAGAAAGAAGCAAACTCAATAAAATAAAAACAAAATTCAGGAAAGAAACATGAGCTGGATATGCTGAATAAGAAACTTAATTTGCATAAACAATCAACAATATAAGCATTCAGCTATCTATTCATAAGGGAAAAATTGGGCCCCAAAGCTTTGCTCTGTCTTGAGCTCCTCCCCTGAAGTCAAGAAAGGAGCAATTTTTGAAATGCTTCCTAACTAAGAACTGAATCCCTGATTTTAAAAACAATGGAGAAGTATAAGCAGCTCACATACCAGCATTCCCTCCTGTACCCTTATGCCTGGGCAAGCAGTGGGATTTTTCACATAATCGTGTATTGTCTTATTTATTTTGTGTACTTCCATAAGTGTGTGCATGAGCAGCTAATACAGACAGAGAGGCCAGAGGCAAATCCCCAGATTCAGGCACTTCTAAGCTGTGGAGTGTTCAAAATCCAAATCAGGGCTTTACAGCTTGAGCCCTTCTCTAATATTTATTCAGATTTATGATAAATGTAGTACTTTAGAGCTAATTCTTGTTCATAATGTATCTGTTGTTCAGTCGTGACTATAGCGTATAAATATCACGCATTTATCTTTGAGCCTGTAGACATTCAAGCCTCTGTTCTTCGGGGCGTTATTTATTTATTTACGCCTTTGCTTGTTTGATAGATGGCAGCAGATAAATGTTTCCTAACTGGAGATGTCTCATTAGTTTTTGCTTTTAGTATCATCTGTCTTATGACAGCAAACAACAGGGAATTTTTGCACATTTGTACGACTGTATTGCATTTTCAGTTATAGCTGTTTCTGTGTTTTCACAGGTGATACATAAATATAACCTTATCCTTAAGACTATTTTCAAAGAAAATGCATTTATACTATAACCAGAGCCCTACAGTCTCGTCATTACAGCCCCACTATTTTCAAGGAAGAGAGCTCGTTCTGTGATGTAGAAGGTGGAGACTGGGAAGCTGGCTCTGCTAAGCCTTGCCTAATGCAAACTGCTTTAGTATGCACATCACATCATGCCGGCTATACTGCAGGGAGCAGGCAGTTATCGCACAAGCGTGCATCCTCAGAGCCAGGATAAACACTCCGTTACTCTCCCTCTAAACTGCTCTTCTGGGAGGGAGAGAAAATAAATAGGGAGCGAGAGAGGCATTTGAAGTAACCTTTTTAAGAAGGAGGCAGCAGCCAATAGAACCTTTCTTTTTTCTTTTTTTTTTTCTTCTTTTTTTTTTTTTCCCCCCACTTCTTACTAGAGAAATTCGTGTTACCTCAGCAATTAAGGAGAAGAGCCAGCACCTAGGGTTCCAGGCTGTGAGGGGGAGTAGCAACTTGTACCAGGTAGGAAGCCCTTTCAACATCCTTTTAAATCCATGCAGCTCAGTTACTACTTGCTATGTTGCTATACCATGTCTGACTTCGGGAGACTTTGTGTCTGCTAGTCACCACTCCCCGAGTGAAAGAGACCTTGGGGAGCTTTAATTGCCAATGACCTTCAGGGTATTTCTTGGAAAGACACTGGTACTTAGTGCTGTAAAGTAAAGCAATCTATACTTTGGTCTGACGGCTTAAAGTGTGCATTTAGCATCAGGATGCAGCTGGGTGAAACTGCAGCTGTTACCCGTCTACGAAACCATGTCACAAATGAGTAAAAATTAGCCATTTTATAATAACTGAAGCAGCTGCTCTGCATTTTTAGCAACAGGGCTGCATTACTTTCCAAAACTTATTACCATAAATTCTTTTTGTGCTGGAAAGTCAGCAGATATGCTTTACTGTATTCAAAGTTATTTTGAGAGTTATCTACTATATTTTCATAGTTACTTATGCATATTTTATTAAGACTTCTCCAAACTTTCCAGAGGCAGCCGTGTCTTGTGTGGCAGGTTAATATCCCTGCTAACAAATAATTTGTGCAGTAATTGTAGTGAGTGATTACGGTGTTTGCTGTACAGTGTTGCCTGCTGTGAGCCTGTGGGAATGCGGGCATCTCCTCAGGTGCCTGAGGGATGGGGTGGGATGGAGCCCTGGGTCACACGTGCTTGTTTCATCTGCCTTAGTACTACAGGACAGAGAGGAAAGTGAGGAGGAAGTGAGAGTTGTGTTTGGGCTTTGTGATCCTGTTGTGCAGTGTTTTCCTCCTTGCACTTTTATTTGTGTTCACTCACAGGAATGAATGGTTAGGTGACATTTGTTCAACCTGTGTTGTGTATGTTGTAACAGGGATGGGACTGAATGAGTTTACTAAAAGCAGGAGTAGCATTTGCGTAAGTTCTTGGGTTAGGAGTCAATCCTGCCTGGGTCACCATGGTGTCTTGAGACTCAGTTTCATTGTGTGATCAGTTTAAGTTGCTGTCTTCTGAGCAGTTAAAGGAATCTAAGGCCAACTTTTGCAAGCTTTAACATTTTCTTCTATACATCAGACCGGTGACAGGGAATTCTTAAGGGTAAAAATCTGTACGTATTTTCAAAGTGCAAGCAGTGGTGTGGGTAAATATAGCACGTCTAAGGATTCAGTTGCTTGCAAGAAAACCTGAAAACAATGTTCAAAACACTCAGAGCTTACGTGCCACTGCTGTAATAAAAAAATAAATACTGATAATAGCAGAGCTCTCTCAGTACCTGCACAACCTTTTCTTGTATGTAATTGCTCTATGCAGAAATAGCTCCATATATTTTGTTTAAAGGTATCTTGTGACTCTTATCTGTAGGAAAAACTACTGAGGATGTCTAAATCCGTAGCCTTTTTTCTGATGAGCATAATGAAAAAAACAGTTCTTAGAAAATGAGAATTGTGTCTGATAGCAATAAAAGCTAAGGAGGTAAAAAAGAAATAGCTTTGAAAATTACAGCTGTGAAATAGAGGTGAGATCTAGTCAGTGACCAGCACTGGTTAGAGGACCTGTCAGCAGGTGAGAGCAGTTTTAACCTCTGAGATGTTCAATGCTTCAGAGAATTCACACTTGGAAAGTACCACTTCAATTAGCAACCAAAATGGGAAGAAAACTGCAATGGGAAAGCGATGCCTTGACTCCTTTAATTTCTCTTGATATATGAAATTTGTGATGAAGGAAATTATACCCATGCCCTTCAGGGTTTTTTTTAACAGGTTGATATAAAACTAAGTGAATCATTACTTTAAAGAGAAAAAGTTAAGTAAGTTGAACACATCAACCTGTTTCAATAAAAACCCTTATAAAATTCAGGCTTCAGAAACATTTCAGGTAAATTACAGCTGGTTGGTGAGGGGTTTGGGGTTTCTTTTTTGTTTGTTTTTCTTATTTGTTTCATTTTTTTTTTAACCTCCAGTCCAAATGCTTACCCTTGGAATATACAGAAATGTTCAGATGTTTTCAAAAAAAGTTATTAATTGACTGGGGCCTTGAATTTTGGCTTGAGAAAGTTTATTATTTTTTCATTCACTGATACATTTTGTAGGTTTCTCTGACTGAAAGGGATCATGAGGACTGTACATTGGGATACGTAGATTTCTTGCCTTGGTATTGCTTGCAGGTCACTACTTTTCTATGCCTCAGTTTACTGATAGGTAAATACAGGTCCTGGCAGCTGCCTGCTTGGAAACATATTGGAGATCTGAATTTTTCCAGATTATCCTCATTCACATTAATTGTGCTTTATGTAGATTTGGGTTGGTTGGGGGGGTTTTTTGTGGCTCTAGTTCACCTTGTAGCTTACGAATTTAACTTTAATTATTTCTCTGGGTTTATTACCTGTTGCTTACTCTACTAAAATCCTGCTGAACAAACACTGCATGACTATGAAATGTTTTAAATCATAAAACACATAGTAGAAATCTTTATGCTTCATCCCTACCCTAAAAGAGACTCCCTTTACTGCAGAGAGCTTAGTGGGGATGTGGGATGGTCCTGTCCATGGGGGGAAAATGTGAAACCTTTAACAAGATCCTTCAGGAGCTCAAGAGTCACTGACAGAAAATCTACGATGTGTTTGTGCCTAAAAGTAGATTGAATTTACTGCTGCACGAATCTTAAGCCTTTTCAGCAGAAATGATGCAACTGGTTCTGCAGTTTGTTTGGTTTTTTTTTTTACATGTAAACCCAGAAATATCTGACTTCCAGAGATATCAAACATAGTTGATTGTTGCATTGCAATATGTGGGTACCCCCTTACATTGGTGGCTTTGACCAAGGCTCCCTATCTCTCTATTAGTTTCCAGAACTACTCTGTTCAGCATCCATGTGGTGGAGAACTGGGACTCCCAGTGCCATTGGAAATCAGAGGAGGAAGCCTCAAATTTTTTGCAAGGGTTTTATCTGTTGACACATAAAAGAAAAGGTGCCACTATAAAACTAATTGATCTTTCTTGGTGCTTTTTGACATTTTGATAAATCAAAAAATTGACTGGGGAGTTTGATGTTAGTATAAGGACTATCAAAATGCAATGTATGAAAGTCTGGGTGTTGATATAATTCTGTATTACTATGGGTCCCCAGAGTGGCCATTATCTTTTGATCTAGGTTTAGTTAATTTTAATAACCTCATTGTTTTTTTGGAAGCAAAACACTAAACACACAGTCCCAGTAATGTATGATGACTGCAAATTTATACAAGAGGATTTCCAAACAACCTCACAGTTGTGATTACACTGAACAGACATTTCTGCACTCAGGCATGTCTTCTTTTTACTGTGAGCATGAATGACAGGATGAGACTGGATTTTTCTTTCTCCACTGTCAAGATATCCAGTAACATTTTTCCAAATGAACACTTGGAGACAATCAGGGACTTTTGTACTTTGCTTTCGACGTATGCAAGGGATTAGAATTAATGGTTGGACTCAAGGGATCAGGATTAATGGTAAGGCTGACTAACACTAACTAACCATTGGAATTCACTGCCAACTTTAACAAAATACTAAGTTACTTAACAGCACACAACTTTTGAGATTTATTTAAGCAATAATCCCCAAGAAACCAATCATTACCAGCAATTAACTATTGGTTTGTGGGTTGCTGGACCATTAATGTTCTAACAAACTGACTGTTAACTAAAGTAACAACAGCAGCAAATTCTGAGGATGGGTATTTGTTCTGACTGCAGGTTTCCTGTTATATAACTTCTTTATCTGTCCCACACTTTTGTAGCAGCTAGGGACTCATTAAATAATTTTTTCTCTTTTAGTGCCTTTTGATGTGGAAAGGCTGTGATGCTGGAGCTGGGTTTATCATACCTATGAGGCTACACTTCAGACAGAATGTGGGAATTTTATTTTTTCCCCTGAAACTCCCAAGCAATACCAAGTGCTTTTTAAAAGACACTTCATGCAATACTAATGTTTAAATAATAATTTAAAACAAAATATATTTTTAAACTTTCTTTTTTCCTAACTGAAATTATGACAGCCCTGATCTGATTCAATAGTCGTAGTAGCTGTGTTTAGAATGAGGAAGTTTTGATATAGGTCACTTTTAGGATAGGTAGAATTTGGGATGTTTTGGCCTTCTCAACATCCTCAGCCTCATTCAGAGTTCAAAATGGAAAGCAGAACTGAATGGTGAGAGACGCAGCAAATGAACTGGAAGATAAAAACTTGCTATTTTAGTAAGTTTATTTAAAGTTCTGGGTTTATTTAATGTTGTACTCTATTTAATTGTTTTACTTTTCAGTCGTCAGGAAAAAAATAAGGAAAGAAACAAGCTAGATATAAAATTATATTTCTTATAAAGTGGGACAGCTGTTTTATCTCTGTAGGCTTTGCTTGTTTTATCCAGAAATTATCAATAGCTTAGGGTGCAAGTGTGCATGTGTTGACTTTTCCTTAATGGAATTGAGGTGGGCAGCTCTACTAAGGCTGATTAGAACCATCACAAAATCTGCCATGCTACAATGAAATGAAGAGAGATGGATTTAGGTCAGTATCTAATGAGGTCCACATACAATGCTGTCAGGAAAGAAAAAAAAAAAACCACCTTAAAAGTTAAATACGTAATCTGAGTAATTTAGAAAGAAAAATAGAAATAAACAGACACGGGCTTACATGATTCTTTAGTCTGAATTTTACCTAGCTCAGAAAATGATGCTATTTCTCCAAATAAAGAGGAAATACCAGAAATAAAAAAGAAATTTCAAGGTACATGTACAATGCGCCCTCAGCAAATTTGCCAGTGATACAGAGCTGTGTGGTGTGGTCAGTAGGCTGGAGGCAAGGGATGCCATCCAGAGGGACCTGGACAGGCTGGGCAGATGGGTCTGAAAACCTCATGAGGTTCAACAGGGCCAAGTGCAAAGTCCTGCACAAGGGTTGGGGCAACCTGAAACACAAACACAGGCTGGGGAGAGAATGGGTTGAGAGCAGCTGT